ATTCTGCCAAATGTGCAGTCTGTATGTGAGTGCATTTGGAATGGATTTCCCAAAGCAAGACAGAGGCACAGCACAGAAGATGGGAAAATTTAAAAGGGCGATTGTGTCATTTGGTATCAAATCAGAGGAGAATTTCAAATAGAGCAGCACCATGTGGAAATGAATGTGAGCACATTCCTTCCCTAAGGACAGACATATCCTCAGAGAAAGAAAGCAGATAGACGTCAGATGCTTCAGGAAAAAATGAGCCTGGATGCTGGCCGGTTCCTACGGACCACCTTGTGCAGTTTCCCATGATTTATCCATTATGCACTGTCATACTGCTGAATGTTTGGCTTCATTTGTTTTCTTTTTATAGTGCCCCCCCACTGTTTTATATTTTCAGCATTCACATTCTGTAATTTGCTGTCATGTCACCTTTGCATAATTTCCAATCCTGGTGCTTTAAATTGTTGAAAGATTTTAGAGCATCTGGAGTCATTTTGTGCATTCTTTTTGCAGATTTGTTTCCCAAAGCACATTATCATAGTATTGACGTTGTGTACAAGACTTATTCGTGTATGGTATGTATAACAATATTCAATAAACTAGGCAGCGTCCTTTAGATACACCCCATTTGTGAAACTTTTTTGTGAGAGCTCAGCTCCTTGGGCAACTGCCCATTCACTAATGACCCGTGGCAGAGTGACTCAGATGACCGAAGTCGTGTACACACAATTACCAACCTAATGCATTTGTACTTTCTTTTAATTTATTTCATAGTGAGTAAAGTTTATCTGTCTGTAAATGTTACACCTATGTGACTATAGAAAATATACTTGTGCCCATGCTTATAAAAACAAGTATGTTGGGCTGGAGAGATGGCTCAGTGGTTAAGAGCCCAACATACCTGTAATGCCTGAGGAGGCTAGAAGAGGGTGTTGATTTCCCTGGAATTGGAGTTAAGGTTGGTTGTCAGTCACCACGTAGGGACTGGGGAACAGTCCCAGGTTTTTTCTAAGAATAGAACATTTCTTTTCAACTTGCCACAACCTAGAATCACCTGGTAAGGGAGTCTCAGTAGAGGAACTATCTATCTCAGATTGGCCTGTGGGCATGTCTGTCAGGGATTGTCTTGGTGCTTGGCACCATTTCATGGACTGGGCCTTGGACTGCAGAGTGGGGAAAGATAGCAGAGCACAAGCATGCATGCCTTCTGTTCTCTCTGTTCTCGACTGTGGACATTTGTGACCAGCTGTCTGAAGCTCCTGGCATGATGGCTTCCCTGTTGTAATGAACTATCACCTGGATGTGTAAACTGAATAGACCCTTTCCTTCCTTAGTCTGTTTTCTGTCCAAGGATTTTATCATAGCAACAGAAATGAAACTAGAACACCTCACATCTTCCAAAGATGGCCAGTGAGTTGTTTTTGTCTCTGTGGACAATTAAGAACAGGGAACAGCTCTGGGCATATGGCTCAGTCTGCCTCCAGACTTGAATACTGGGAATCTGCCTCAATGTAGCAGAGTAGGGGTCAGGAGAGTGGGAGCAGGGCGGATGCAAAGAGCAATTTGAAAGGCATAGCAAGGCTGGGGAAATTGTGAGGCTTTCTAACTTCGAACATCCTGAAAAAACTGGTCTCTAAAGTCAAGGATGGAGGAAAGATGATTCTAGGAACTCTGGCATCATCTTTCCTCGTCCCCTGAGTGGCATCAGGGCAGATATGTCATTCATTAACATGAAGCAGCCACATCAGAGTGAGGCCACATGTGTGATACAGTTGTCATTAGCAGGCTAAATAAAGCTCAAGGGGGCTAGGGATACCCCTGGTTATACATTAGGATCACTGTGGTGGTTTGAATGAGACTGTTCCCTATAGGCTCCAAGTATTTGAATACTTGGCCCCAGTTGGTGGTGCTGTTTGTGGAGGTTTAAGCAGTGTGGTCTTGCTGGAGGATGCACATAGTGATATCTTAATTTTATAGCTAGCTACTTGTGTTGCCTGAGAATTAGCTGGACCCATCTTTAAAAGTCTCAAACAACTAAGAAAGAAAGAAAAAAGAAAGAATGAATACATAAATATTCAGTAAAAGCATTTACAAAAATAAATAACAAAAGAAAGAAAGAAAGAAAGAAAGAAAGAAAGAAAGAAAGAAAGAACAGAGGAAGGAAGACAACTAACACTGACCTCTGTCCTCCACACATGTGTGTGGGAGACCACGCTGCCTGGCAGCCCTCCCTGCCCCCAGGGCAAGCAGCCTCCGGAGAACTTGCTGATCAGTCCTCCCTGCCCCCTAAGATAAGCAACCCTTCTGATGATTTAATCCTTATCCTGCAACCAGACTATGGCGCCAGGTCCCCTCATCCTAAGGGACATTCATTAACCCATTGAGACAACACCTTCCCTTCCCCTTCTCCAGCTAATTTCCCGCTTCAGCCCGTATAAGAATCCCCATGGAAAAATAAACTTTGGCAGCTTGATCAGAGTTCTTTGTCTTGCTGTCATTCTTCGTGTCTCTTGTCCCATCGTTCCAGGTCCCTGGGAGTTCGAGTCTCCGTCTCCTGCCCTGCAGGCCGGGGCACACATGGATGCATACATGCATGTGAACCTGTACAGTCTCATGCACACACACACCAGCATGTACTCACATGTATGCTACACACATACAAACACAAAACAAAAAAACCCACTCATGTCCCCTTTGGACCCCCAGAGATTCTGGCACAATTGGTTCTGGTTGATTCCCTGGAATTGGCAGTTTTTAAAAGTTTTTTTTTTTTTAATAAGGTTTTACCAAGGTGACCTTAATAGATAAGCAGGGCTATTTCCCAGCCCCCTTGAATTTTAGCCTCATGTTAATAAAGGGCATCTCAGGAGACTGTGGAAAGATGATGCCAGGAATTCCTCTCCACTGCTCCTTCCTTTCACATGCTGATCTCAGTCTTTGACATATGGCATAGCACAAAATTCCACTCCCAGCTCCACATCCTAATTGGTTGGTACCATCTCCATTTAGCAGGCATGCAACTGGGGACCTGAGAGTTGAGTAGATCACAAGCCTATGTGTGGATGAGTTCCGGGCTCCATCGTGAACTGTCGATTACAAGCTGTGACTTTAATCCCAGACCCTCTTCAGGAACTGCTTCTTCCCTTCCTTTGTGTAGTACATATAGATTCTTAGTATAGGGGCAATCTTTGGAGTATGTGTCCTAGTTTGTTTTTCTGTTGTGATAAAACACTGAACAAAAATAACTTGGGGAGGAAAGGATTTATTTCAGCTTATTACAACTCTCAGATTACAATCCAACACTGAAGGAACTCTGGACAGAAACCTGGAGGCAGGAGCTGAAGCACAGACTATGAAGGAACACTGCTTACTGACTTGTTCCTCTAGCCTGTGCTCAGCCTGCTTTCATCTACAACACAGGACTACCTGCCCAAGAGTGATACCACCCACAGTGGGCTAGGCCCTCCCACATCACTCAACAATCAAGAAAATGCCTCAGACATACCTACAGGCCAGCTGGAGAGAGGAAATTCCTCAACTGAGGTTCCCTCTTCACAGGTGTCAAGTTGACAACTGAAGCTATCCAGCACAGGGTGTCTAGCTGAAATGAGGGACCCTGAATCTCTGGTTCTCAGCATTTGACTCTGAGTGTCCCCCTAGTCTTCTTCAGGATTTAAAGGTTTGAAGGTATTTAAGTTTACTCTTAAACTAAGAGGGGATGGGGGTTCTATTTCTGACCCCCTCCTCACTTTTCTTTCTGGGCCATAGGGTCTCACAGCTGGCCCTCCCTCCTAAGCCTCAGTAGGACAAACTCAACCCTCAAATACTTTTAAGGACGGTCCCAATTTTCTTCTGCACCCAGACTTAGCCCAAATATCCCTTAGAGGATGGGGAAAGTTGATCATCTGAGGAGTCCCTGAATTATAACACCGTTCTCCAATTAGATCTTTTCTGCTGAAAGAAGGATAAATGGGGAGGAGGGCTGAATTCCTTTTATGTAACTGTTTTTCTAGCTAAGAGACTATCCTGAGTTAGGTCAGGGTTGTAAGCCAGACTCTCAAGACTTTGGCATTTGTTTGTGCCCCTCAGAAAAACCAGACGCAAATCAACCTCCATCCTTGGAATAAAAGAAACTCAAAAGGAAGTGGAACCATCCTCAGACCTTCCCTTCGCCCCCCACCCCAATCAATCCTCCCTCCACCTTGAACTCCCTGGGAACTGCTCACCATATCCCTGTCCCTCAGTCTCTCTGGTTTCCAACCAGAACCATCCCTGGACTCCTGGACCCGAGTTTCCTACTCCTCCCTCATTGAACTCAAGGAAATTATAAAGGATTAGCCCAGGCGGTATCGTTTCTGTGACCTGTGACCTTCCATATGCCACTTCCTTCCGGTGCATCAGACTCCACACCACTGCCGGTGCCCACAGCCAGAGCAGTCCTTCACTAGAACTACAGATATCATAGTCCACTCCTCTTACCATTCCCATCCCCAAAACTGTTATGACTGAGGCCATAAGCTCTGTCCTAAGGCTGAAATACACCTCTTTCGCTCCCACCATTCAGAACACATTTGTTACACCCTTCTCTCCTCTTCCCCATTGTCCTAGGATAGACTTAGTCTTGGAAGCCAGGCTATTCCCCTCCTAATCCCAGGATTCTGGCTTTGTATGTGATCCAGAACAAACCAAATGTGTTTTCCTGAACATTCTACATTATTCCTTCCACTACTGAGACTTGGGCTACAAAGCCTGCTCCTCCTAGCTGTCCGGACCTATCTGGAACTCCTTAGGACTCCAAGACTGTCATTAACCTTCATTAATTGGCTAGGCTCAGGTTTCGGAGCGCCAAGTTAACTGTCAGCCCCGCTCAGGCTGAGGTCCAATGCTGAGGAAGCTTTCAGTTTCCCGACGGTGCGCAGTCTGAGAGCCCCACACTGATTGGCTGCGGCCGAGTCTCTCGAAACCCCGCCCCAACGTGCGCTTGGCTGCAGGAATTGGCCCTGGCAGCCTGCCGAGGTTCCGGCTAGTGAGCGCTGACCCGCCTAACCACGTGGGCTGCCCGAACTCGGAACGGAGATCCTCCAGTCATGGCGGGGGTGCGCAGAATGGACCTAGGCGAGGCCCTGGCGCTGGGGCCCGGCTGGCGACACGCCTGCCACGCACTGCTCTACGCGCCCGACCCCGGGATGCTCTTCGGCCGCATCCCGCTGCGCTACGCGGTGCTGGTGAGGATGGGGTGCGCCCGGCCACTCCTCGCCCCGCAGCCCGGGTGCCCAGGCCAACCCTCGCTTCCTCCTCCCCCAGATGCAGATGCGTTTTGATGGGCGCCTGGGCTTCCCCGGCGGCTTCGTGGACGCGCAGGACAGCAGTCTGGAAGACGGGCTGAACCGTGAATTATGGGAGGAGCTGGGTGACACGGCCTCAGCCTTCCGCGTGGAACGCACCGATTACCGGAGCTCACACGCTGGGACCAGACCGCGAGTGGTGGCCCACTTCTATGCCAAGCGTCTGACGCTAGAACAGCTGCAGGCTGTAGAAGCTAGGGCTCCACAAGCCAAGGACCACGGGTTGGAGGTGGGGCCAGCCTGGGACCCACCCTATCTCCTGTCTGCCCTCCTCCCCCGTCCCTTCCCAAGGAAAGCCACTAGAGGGGGTGTTAGGGGTTGGCCCTCAGACCTTGTGCCCTTCCAAGTGGCTAGAACTGATTGGGATCTTGGTCATCTCCAGGCTGGATTAATATTGCATTTGGTCTCCTGTGAAGATTGCACTCCCCCCAGCCCCAAACTGGCCTTTGCAGAGAACTTTCTATAGCACACATCCAAGCCTCTCCTGTCTTGAGCTATACCCTTGACTTTGGGCCCATACTTTTCTTAGGCAGAAAACATGACCAGGGTTCTAATACTAGGGGAGCAGGAGACAGATGTGTGTGGAGGTGGTCCCCAAAGTCAGGCAAGTATGATGCTGGGGGTCAGGGAAGAATTGAAATGGTGGTAACAGTGCACACTTTGGTAAAGTATATACAAAACAGTTTTATCAGACCCAATTGATTGGGGGAGGCATGGGAGGAAGACCTGAGTATTTGCATCTTGAGCGCACAAGTGATGCCCATATAGCTGCTTAGGTTCTGAATTTGAAAATACTAGTATAGCTGTGGCTGCCTCCTGGGGGTGAGGAACAGTGGAGAAGGGTTAGCATGGCGTGGATACCCAGCATGGGTCATTTGTCCACACAGAGTTAGGCCCACTAAGTGTTTCTGAGATGTGAGCATTGGGCCTGGTTCTGCCTGGTTGTTAGGAGAGGTAAGACCTCTACCTTGGAGAGATCTGTTGCAGGGTGGGTTGAGATAATGTATGAGTTGCTTGAAGACCCACGTGTCCCCTGTCTCTTTTTCATAGGTGCTGGGCCTGGTGAGAGTGCCACTGTACACCCTACGGGATGGTGTGGGAGGCTTGCCTGCCTTCCTGGAGAATTCCTTTATTGGCGCTGCCCGGGAGCAGCTACTGGAAGCCCTCCGGGACTTAGAACTTCTGGAACCAGGTTCTATCTCAAACCTCAAGATCCCACCTTCCAAGTAGAGTCTGCCCTTCATGGACCCCTGGAACTTGAGATGAAAACCTTGCTAGGAGGGTGGGAGGGAGGGAGAAGATGTCTTCTCTTCTGGCCTGAGGGGGTGATAGGTGATACCAGATTAAAAGAAGGAAGTGTGTGTGCAATGTTTTGAATAGAGGACCTTGTCCCATGGCATCAGAGTTTATAAAAGGCCTGGCAGTTTATCTGAGGCCCTCCCCATTCATGTTCAGGCAGAGCCTAAGAGCCCCTGGCATGCACATTTGCAGTCTGTGACCCCACACATCTGGGACACTCCCATCTGTCCTGTTTAACCAGGATGTAGCTTTGTTGGTGTGTGACTTGCCCCAATCCCCTCTCTTTCCTGGTAAGCAGAGGACAGTCTCCCCCATATCCTACAAAGCTCCTCAGGGTCCAGCGCAGCCCAGGCCTGTTGGGGAAGCAGAGGCAGAGGACTTCTGCTGGCTGAGCATGGCCCCATTTTACCTAAGGCTTGACCAGAGCAGCAGTTTCTAGAGAGTATTGTGAGGCTCTAACCAGCCACATAGCCTTTCTTTTTTCTGCAGCTGAGCATAAAATGTTAGAAGATATCAATGGCTTTTTTGGGCTGACCTTAAACCTGAGACCTCTTCCAGTATAAATTACCTTCATCTCTGAGAAAATGATAAAAGACTTAATCCAGACCCTGTTTAGCCTGCTCTTCCAAAAAAGAACCTCCCAGAAAAGCAAGCTGATAGCTAGGCGGTCTCTCAACAGGCATGGGCTTGCACCTGCTAAGTGCCTGGTGTAATAAAGGGTATAGAGTCCTTATAGCTCATGTCCAGACTTCAGAGGAGAGTTGGCACACAGTCTCTTACAACACTACACAGTAAATATTTTAGGCCTTACCAGCCACATGGTTTTAGTGGAAACCCTTTAACTCTGCCATGTCAAATGTACCTGCACAGTACATAAACTTGTATTGCCTGTGCCAGTAAGACACTAATGAAAAAGCAGGCATAGTTTCTGGACTGTAGCTTACCAGTGACTACAGGGAAAGACGGGCTAATCTTTGTGATGACTGTGTGCATAAGTCTTTGCAAGGAAATAAGGAATGGATGTGGTTCCATTTGGATACTTTTAGTTGGGTTGGTGTGGAACGCCCCGATGGAGAACACTTGAGCGGAAAGAAGAGAAGGGAGGATTCATGGAGGAATGTGGAAAGAGCTTTCTATTAGTGAAGGCTTGATGTGGGAAGATTCCTGGTCATGACATCCCAGAATGGACTTCTTAATCATGATCGTGGAACATATTTCTCAAACAGCTATTTTATTATGTTTCAACACATACATGTCAGAAATTCTCATAGGGACCAGGCTGGGTTACTGTTATGGGTCTTTTGAAAAGTCTAGATGAGGGCTGGGGATGTAGCTCAGTTGCTAGAGTGCTTTGCCTAGCATGCATGAAGCCCTGAGGTGGATCCCTAGCATCCTAGAAATGGCTTGATGGACACCTATAATCCCAGCACTGAGGTAGGAGGATCAGAAGTTCAATGACATCCACAGCCATAGTGAGTTTGAGGCCAGCCTGGGATACATGAAATCCTGTCTCCAAAAAAAAAAAAAAAATCTAGATGATATTGAACTGGTAGATAGGGCCTGTCAGGAGAATCCAAGATAGCTTCATTCATAGGTCTGATACCTTAAAAGAGATGGTTAAAGGGCTAGGCTCAACTGATATCCCTGTATGTGGCCTCACCAAATGGTGATCTATTTAGGTGAATCCCTACATGACTCAGCTCCCAGAGAAGAGTGTGAAGAGATCAAGGTAGACCACTGATCTGGCCCTAGAAAGTCAACTTTTCTATATTCTCCTTCTCAAGCAAATCATTAAAAGCCAGCCAAGACTCAAGGGTAGGGACAGTAAACTCCATTTCTTGATGCTGGTCTAATGGATGCGGCAGAGAACCAACAAAGAATTTGTTACCGATATTGACGAGCAGAGTATAGGGGCAGCACAAGTCCAGTATGGTGAGACATCATGAAACAGGGCCAGGGGCTCTATGGTATGAGGTCTCACAGGTCATGGGGAATGGCCCAGTGCATGGGTCAAGGAAGTCACTCCTGGTGTGTGGACCAAGAATTGAAAGGGTTCTAGATAAGGACAGAGTAACCTGCCTCTAGTTTCCGTGGAAGAGGGTAGTGACCTGGACCAGGCTTGGGCAATGGAGATACACAGAGGTAGAGGACCTGGTGGTATCTGACAGGGCCTACTGATGGGTATGTTGGAGGAGGGGGAATCAAGAAGGTAGAGGATTCCAGGAGGACTTAAATTTGAGCTAAAGCCATTCATTTGAAGATGAAGACAAAACCCAGTGGATAAGGGAATAAGATTTGAAGAGATCTGCTCCACGTGACAAATTTGAGTCAACTCAATAAAGACAGTATGAGAATTCCATTGTGAGGTCATTCATAGAGAAAGGAGATGGACAGGTCAAGGCCCTGGGGAAGCCCAACACTGAGAGTTGAGAGGGGGGGTAGGATGTGTTAAAAGGGACCAGGAATAAGAGGGGAGCTGATTTCTAACAAAGCAGACATTTCTACGTACTTCAGAGAGTTTTAGTAAGGTCAGAAAAGTCCATTGGATTGGGCAACACCAGGATTTGATGACGTTTTGGGTGCAATGTCAGGAATATGGAGGGTAGAGGACAAACAAATGGCTTAAACAAAAGAATGGCAAGGTGTGCGGAGCTATAAAGGGCTCAGTTTAAAGATACTTTCAGAGATCAATTCTATAGTTCGTTATAGTTGGGGGTAGTGCGTGCACCTCCTTTCCCTTCACCACCTGTGATGATGAGTCTCCCCTTACCACTGTGACAATTAGTCTTGATTGCCAACTTGGTTGGATTGAGAGAATCCTTAAGAGATTAGTAAAACACACCTAGATGTGTCTGTGATACTGTTTCCAGAGAGGATTAGATCATGATGCCCTGACCTAATCAGTGATGTACTCCATTGATGGATTCAAAATTTGAATAAACTACTGAGAGTTAGTGGGATGAGGGGAAATGTGGCCTAGTTGTAAGAAGTGGGTCTTTGGAGGTGTGTCTGAAGATATGACTTGGCCCTGACCCAATCTCGTTCTCTTTTTGTTTCCTGGTTGCTATGAGTTGACCAACTTCCCTCCACCATGCCCTTCCTCCAGGATGTTTCTCTGCCTTGCCATGGGCCTCAGACTGATGGAGGCAGACAGCCATGAACTGAAGCCTATAAATCTTTGCCTCTGTAACTTGTTTCAAAATGTGCCAGACAGTCTGGGAACCATACCAGTGTTCAGAGGCTCACTCAGATGAAGACACCTGCTACAGAGTTGGGGTTATTTCAGAGACGTGAAGGCAGGAAGAGGTGGGCCATTCAGAAGATGTATGTAGGAAAGGCTACAGTGATGGGCTGTAGGGCTTAACATTTACATTGAAGTGAAGAGAACAGAGACTTTGGAATGATCATCAAATGGAAGTCTTGATGAAGTAGAAACTAGGAAATGGATTCCAGGTAGAGAGAAGGGTTTGGATTTGGGGAGCTGAATTGAATTCAGAGAAAGAACCAGGTGAGAACACAGGATGGCTAACCAGAGTTGGGGGACAAGCTGTACTGGTCCTGGCAGTACCTGGCTGGCAGGAGGGAAGAGGGCAGGCTAAACTGTGCATGGCTCCTCTGACCCATCTGCATCCTGCTGGGGGATGGTTAGGACGGTGGCAATGACGCAGGCTTCCCTGGGCCCCTTTAAGCTCAGTTCTCTAGGGAGGAAGGAAGACAGGATCGCCTTTTAGCCTTCAACCCCTGCTCACTGCAGTGAGGACTTTGAGCTGAGAGCTCAGCCTCCTTCCTTATCTGAAGCTTGGGGTTGTGATTCCTGGGGAGAGGGTTAATAGAGGGAGCACTTGACATTAGCTTTGGGCAGATCAGCCAGCACTGTGTCAGCAGATGCTCTGATTCCTTCCTGGGAAGGAGCGGGCAGGGCCACCTCTCCCCAAACACACACTTCTGCTTTGCTCAGAACAAGCAAGGAGTTCCCAGTTCTCAGCCTTGCGCTTTCCCTGGACATTTGGACCTCATCTTGTCCTGAGCCAAATTCCTTGTCAGGTTTCTGGCACAGCTGCTGCTTCTTGGCAGAACCAGGTGGGGAAGGACTGTTTTCTTCCCTTGTGAACTTGCTCTTTGAGGCAGGCTAAGTGAAACAGACAGGGCATGTGGGAGGGAAGTGGGAAGGAGAGTTTCCTCTGCCTTTCTGTTTATTTTACTGAAAACGTTTAAATCCTGTGCCCTGAACACACAGGTGAACTAAAAGCCAGAAAGGAAAAACAAGGGTAAAAACATTTTATCTGTGATGAAATATGCAGGCAGCATCAGTCATGTGAAAGATGGCTGCGCGGTGGTGACGCACCCCATAGGGACAAAATACAAGAGGGACAGTCAGTACCGAGGAAGGAGAGTGTGGCCGAGACAAAGGAAAGGGAAGAAGATGTCTCCATGGCTTTAGACCACAAAACCCCCTCCCCAGAGAGAAACTGTATGACCTTTTCCCCAGGTCCTCCAGCTCCCATCTTCCTAGCTGAGTGGGGCACTTCCCTTTGCTGTAGCGAACACACTCAGGCAAAGATCCTAGACAGAGGTGAGACCACCCGCAGGCCCCACTCTCATCCGTGCTCTCACACTAGCAGAGTGACAGTGGTGAAGGGTGACAGGGAAGGACATGAAACGGCACAAGGTTGTTCCTCACCAGCATCTCCTGGGCTTGTGGGAATTTGCATTCTGGATTCTTCCCAGTGTTCTCTCTGCTTTCTCTGATACACACTGGCAAGCCCTTCCTTTCCGTGGGCATTCTCAGCTGATGCAGTGTCAGTGGACGTTGTGTTCACTTATGCAACGAGCCCTGTGCGATCTGTTAAGTGAAATAAGGTAGAGCCACAACAACAAAGTTTCTATTTTCTCTCATCTTCAGAAACTAGGGGGATGTGGATTTAGGAGAAGAGGACTGAGACATTAGTATGAAAGGGGAAGTATGGACTGGAGAAATGGCTCAGCGGTTAAGAGCATTGATTGCTCTAACAGAGGACCTGGGTTTGATTCCCAGCACCCACATAGCAGCTAACAGCTGTCTGTAACTCCAGTTCCAGGGGAATCCGATGCCTTCTTCTGATGTCTGCAGGCATTGCATGACACATTACACTTACACACATGCAAGCAACACACCAATACACATAAAATTAAAAAAATAAAATAAAAGGGGAAGTAAGGAAGAGGGGGATGGGGAGGGAGAGGGGAAAGAGTCATAGAGTAACAACAGGAGTGAATGTGATCAATGAACCTGATGTGCATGTATGGACATGCCTAACCCTTTATAAATCAATATATAGCCCTGGAACAGGAAGTCCCAGGTAGGACTGCTGTTTCCACCCATCCAGTCTCCACCCTCTCAGGTTTCAAAAGGCCACATCTGGGGCTGGAGGGATGGCTCAGCGGTTAAGAGTGCTGGCTGTTCTTGCAGAAGACCCAGGTTCGAATCCTAGCACTCACATGGCAGCTAACAACCATCTGTAACTACAGTTCCAGGGGATTTGACTCCCTCTTCTGTCCTTTGTGCGCCACAACACAGGTGCGCTTGCATACATGCAGGCAATATATACAAATATAAAATAAAAATAATAAAATATATTTTTTAAAAGGCCACAACTGATAGATTTACAACATCCTGACGACCATGATAGTCAGGGTATTGATGGAAGCAAAGGTCTATTGAATAGAGAAGAAAGGATGGCTGAGTGATAGCATGTTTGAGAGCTAAAGAATGGAAGAATGGCTTCCAGTCACCTTCAGGTAATGTGATATGACAACATCATGTCTGTTCCTGCACAGAAGGGGGCATGAACCTGGATGGAAAAGGTGAAGAGCTAGGTTATTTCAGGGAACAGAAACAGCAGGTACTGCAGGGGTTGGGGTGGGGATTTAAGGAAAGCATGGACTTCGGAAGGTTAGGAGGAGGGGATGCGGGCTAATAGCTGCAAGGAAGGGCTTAAGGGAATGAACCTATTAGTGAACTTCACTAATCTCTAGATGAGCACAGAGCATCATTGACACGGGAAGCAGTAATTCTGATGCAGTCGGGAGTATGAATCCTCTAGGAAATCAGGGGAAAGCACAAAGAAAGGGAAGTGACCACAAAACATGGTGGAAATAGAGGTTGGACAGTAGAAATCGGGGATTGTTGATCCACAGAATGGGCATCTTCTTAACAGGCAGGCCATATGCAAAAGAAACATTTGAGGGCGTCCAAGAAGGAAACTTCCTAAACACAAAGATCCTGGACCTACAAATTGGCAGATTCAAATGACAGTGGAAACAACCTGAAAATGTCTTTCATTTCAAGGACACTCATGAGGCAAGTGAATGAGGGCCCCTAGTGTATCCCAAACATCACACCTGTCTACACAGATGTGTGCGAAAGCATGGCTATCATCCATGCACTCTGGAAAATGAAGCAAGCATTTCTCAGCAAGGTACAAACAGAAAAGACCAAACTTGGGACAGCTGTGTAAGTGGTGACTTAGTGAGCTGTGAGCAGCTGTCCCAATTGTATACCCACCTAGTACTGAGCGCTGGGGTTAATGATATGTGAAAACAATGTAAAAGGTACCAACTGAAATAGTTTACATACGATACAGTAAAAGAGTGAATAATGTGATGATAACGACAGACCCCAAATTCTAGATCGTTCCCCATAGAAGATAGTATGGATGAGGGGAAATGGGTAATTGGGTACTAATTGCTTTCTGAAGCTGAAAGAGTCTACGATTGGGGGAAAATAGGAGACAATTCAGGGCATGCCAAGGCAATAAAATCCTAGTTGAATGTGTAAGGTAGTCAAAGAATGCCAGACGATTGAAAAAATGGAGAATCATCACAGCACAAATATAAAAATTCAGTATTTAAAGCATTGGAATTTTTGAGCTAGTCAAAAATCTGCAAATGTCACAAGATTATCATTAAGATTATATGAGGTAAAACTGATTAGAAATGAAAGGAAAAATAGGTTAGGGACTTTAAACATGCTTCTTTCAGTCTTTGGCTGTTAAAAATGCTAACATAAACATAGGTGTCTAAGTTCTAAAAATAATCAAATTAAAGATGGTGGTGATAGCAGTCAATATTTTGGGGTATGTGCATGCAGACTATCCTGTGCTCTTTCCGTACATAGACATTGAGTAACTGTATGAGTGACTCCTTGCTGCTGTGATAGAACAGCTGGCAAAAGCAACTTAAGGAAAGGTTTGTGTTGGCTCACACTTTGAGGGTACAGTCCATCATGGTGGAGAAGGCACAGTGGTAGGAGTGTGAGGCAGCGGTCACAACGCTGGTACTCAGCTCCCTTTCTCCTTTTTGTTTGGCCCAGGCCCCCAGTCCATGAAATGGGTCTGCCTACATTCAGGGTGGGTCTTCCCACATCAGTTAACCCAAGATGGAAACTCCCTTATAGATGTACCCAAAGGTACATCTCCATGGCAGTTCTAAATGCCAACAAGTTGACAATGAGGATTAACTATCACAGTCATTAAAACAACTTTATTAAATAGGAACACTGTTACTTCTACAGTCCAAATTTCAAAGAAACACCAAGGTCACTAGTATAATTAATATACTTTTCCCAAAAGATAAATATTGATCTCTGTAATTTCAAGAAGACATACCTGTAATGACCCAGGAAATATTTACTCAGTGAGTCACACTGAGATTTATAAACCTTCATGTGAAGTTGGGCATGGTGGGGCACACCTGTTATTCTAGCACTTGGGTGGGCTGAGGCAAGAGGACTGAGAGTTTTAGGCTAGCCTGGATTCCATAGCAAATTTAAGACCAGCTGATACTAAATAGTAAACAACCAAGAAGGGTCAGGCACACACCTTTAATCCTAGCACTTGGGAGGCAGGGACAGGCAGGCAGATCTCTGTAGGGCGGAGGCCAGCCTGGTCTACCTAGTGAGTTCCAGGCCAGCTAG